GTGAGCGTCAGGCGATAAGAGATTTTTTACGTGTACTTAAGATGTTAACTGCGTTGGCGCATTTGCTTTCCGTCTGTGCCTGACGACGACTCGGGGAACCGGCCTCGAAAATTTGCACAATAAACTTGCTTTCCCAAAGCACACATTCCACTTCGACATATATATATATATATATATATATCTGAAATTGAACGCAGTCATATGCAGTAGATGTGCTAACTTATGAAATTTTAATCGAAATTCTGAAATGCGTTTTCGTTTTGAAAGGATTACCTAAGTATGGTTGTTAAAGTACTCTTCTTGCAGCGTAATTATATATAATTTCGGCAGAGACCCAACAGGCGGCCACAGTGAGAAAACTTCTCTAGGTGGGTCGGGTACAACGGGATGGCGGTTTTGAGGGGAAGAACGGGCGGGGTAAACGGCAGAGGGCACTGGATTGGCACCTGGATGTCGAAAAATCTTGGAATTCGCAGAGAAATAATTATTTGTTTTAATGAAGTCAAAAATACCGCAGGATGGCGCGCAAATAGGGAGTACTGTAGGCAATAGTCAATCGCAGGTGGGCTGGCCGGGGACGTGATGTGATTGGCGGCCGGGGCGAGTAAACCTGAACCACCAAGCGGCTAACCAATGGGATCTTTGGCGCCACACTGGAAGTGGTGTGCATCAGATGGACGGGAAGCAGACGATGCGCAAGCGGGACGCGAGGGGACAGCGATGCACTGCGGTTGGGTAAGAGTGATTGAATAAACTGCTTATGCCAATTGCGTCACTTCCCAGCCCCTTACTAACCCCCTCCTCACCGCCTCCCTATTTGCTATATCGGTGATCTCCACCGCATGCACCGTTTAATACGCATAACGCGAAAAATGGTTAGGATACCTGGACGTAATCCATCGTCACCGCACCAACCTACAGCAATGGGTTCAAGTATATTACGTTGACCAGTGAGACGCTTGAGATTCCTCCACAGTTCAGCAGAACGAAAAGGAGAGGAGGGGGTGGATGTAGTAGAAAAAAGTCGACTAACGAATAAACCGTTAAGTCTGGCAATTTCGTTCTTTATTAAAACATTGATAGCCTTCACCTTGTCACGCTGACCTAGTTTGTAAAAGGTTTCTTTGCGACGTCTCAAATGTTTGAGGTATGGTGAGGAAATTCTGTCAGGCCTGACCATAACAGTTTCACGGGGACAACAAATATCAAAAATGTGATTCAAATATAGCGTAAGATAATTAGAGCATAATTCAGCATTTGGTAGTGCTAGAAAAGTTGGGATGGTACTAGTAATTGAACTCTGCAGTAAGTGGATCTTATCTTCGGATGTGTCTCGAACAGTAATTTTCCTCTCGGGTTTTGTAAGCAGTTGATGGAGGAGAGCCAACAAACGGCGATTGGATAAGCTAACCAACGAAGCCGCAGACGGCAGACGTGAAGGTAAGTCTCCATACCTCCTCCATTTGGTCTCCATGCCTGCCTACGGTGAATGTGGTCGTTACCTGATGGCGATGGAAGAGCTGGCGATTGAGGAAAGCCAACGAACGGCGATTGGATAAGCCGGCCAACGGAAGCACAGACGGAAGAGGTGAAGGTTAGACTATGGACTCCGTCCATTTACTCTCCATGCCTAACTACAGTGAATGTGGTCGTTATCTGCTGGCGATGGGAGAGCTGGCGATTAAGGAGAGCCAACCAACGCCGACTGGATAAGCTAACCAACGAAGGCGCAGACGGAAGTCGTGAAGGTAAGTCTCCGTACCTCCTCCACTTCGTCTCCATGCCTATCTACAGTCCATGTGGCCGCAGGTAACGACCGCATTCAATTGGATACGCCTCTGCCCAATGTCGTAGGAAATTTTCCCAGGAGGCTGCCATGTTGTCGCCCCTTAGGTCGAACCAGAGGCGGTACTGAACCTCATCTCGGTGGGCCCACACTGCTCTGCCGCAGACAAGGCCAGACTCGTACAGGTTCCTATTTATTCTTCTCCAGTAGGCCGCTGTGGCGTTCGTATGTCGTCCCGTTGTGGGATTCTCGAAGATCCTACTGTGGTTGACAGTGTAGTGTGTATAACCTTCCGACGGTATGTGGGTGTAACCCTTCCACTCATCGGTTACGATAACACTACCAGCAGCCACCCACTTCCTTATGACGGGCCTTAGGGCCTCCCAGCTGCGGTTGTTAACCTGCTCAAATAGGGCTTTCCGCTTGCGTGTATCGTACATACCGACGACCCAGCACTGGCGCCGCGGTCGTCCCCCGTTGTACTTGCGGCGACTGCTGAGCGTCTCGTCTATCTGCACTTCCCCGCCTGGTCCCCCCATTTGGGTAACGGCTGATAGAAGTGCGTGTGAGCAGGCCCCGCGGCAAATGCCGTACCATTCCATGGCAGTATCTCTACTGACACGTACACTTGCCGCACACCGCTTGGCCCGCACACCTTCGACGAACTTGTAGCATATACGCATCAGTGTCTGCAGACTGAGCTTACTACCAACGAACATTGACCCCGTCCGCAGGCACCGCTTCCGTCTGCAGTGTCCACAACGGAATGCATAACCGTCCGTATGCTGCCGCAACACTTGCATCTGCACAGTACGCCGACATCGGCATGCTAAGGTGGTGGCCAGCAACCTCCACCGCTGCAGGTACTGAACGAAACCTGCTGACTGAAGGACAGCTTGTATTTCATCCTCGGCCGTCGGTATAATCCGCTGAGGACCGCGCCTACGCCCGCCTGCATTCGGTGAGGATCTAGATGTCGAACTGTAGGAGTTTACAATACAGCGGGTGTCAACTTATGCATATCCCCCACCAACCGTCGAATTCGCAGACGGATATCGTAAAGGTAAGCATCTGTACTTCCTCCATTTGCTCTCCATGCTTACCTACAGTCATTGTGACCTTTACCTGCTGACGATGCTAGAGGTGGCGATCGAGGAGACCCAACGAACGGCGATTGGGCAGGATAACCAACGAAGGCGCAGACGGACGACGTGAAGGTAAGCATCGTTACTTCCTCTATTTGCTCTCCATGCCTACCGACAGTGAACGTGGCCGTTACCGACCGGTCAAAGAAGGAGCTGGCGATTGCGGAGAGCCAACCATCGACGATTGGATAAGCTAACCAACGAACGCACAGACGGAAGACTGGAAGGTATGACTCTGTACTTCGTCCACTTACACTCCATGCCTACCTACAGTGCCTGTGGCCGTTACCTGTTGGCGATGGGAGAGCTGGCGATTGAGGAGAGCCAACCAAGGACGTTTGGAGAAACTGACCAACGAAAAAAAACGCAAAATATACCACAAGCACACCTACTGAACAAACATTAGTACGTAAGGTAGCCGCGATGGAAGTCCTGTGGCCGCGTATTTGGCATCCGTCATAATTTCACTTACATCAAGATATCGTCTTTCAAAGGAATCTTTTTTCGGCAGCATGCAATAACCACGCTGTAAAAAATGACTGCTTAAGAAGCATTGCCTTTCTCATTGATTTTCGATGACCTTAAAATTTATTTATATTTAATCCAAGATATACATAAAATGCTCATATGCTGCTTTTTGGTAGAAGATTACTTTGTTGTCCTACTTTATAATCGAATAAGGGGCTAGTTTGATTTTTAAAAACTTTTTCAATTTCCGAATAATATCGAACCAGACTTGCCGTTAAATTCGTATTTACGGTTTAGAAACCACATGCCATTTATTGTCTGTGTAGGGAAAACCACACATTTCTCTACAGTATTGAAAGGATGTTATATGGGGCTCATAAAATTTTGCAGTGAATTTGAGCCATATTGTAGAATTTACAAATCCCATAAGTAAATGCGCAGAAAAGATGTCTTATGAGCAAGCATTTTACGGTGTGAAAAAACCTCATAATTAGAAACTGTTTCAAAACCGAATTACGCCAATTATTCGAGTACAGAATTAGACGAAGATGTAATTTTTTGCCGAATGAGTAAAAGATATGCATTTTATGTATGTTTTCCATAAAATATAATTAAATATTTAAGGGCATTGAAAATCACTGAGGAAAGATCCTGCTTGCTAGGTAGTCATTTTTACAGAGTCTGATTTTTGCAAGCTGCCGAAAAAGTTCGTTTGAAAGCCGGCATCTCGAGATGACTGAAGTATTATATAATGATGCCGCCAGATGATTAATTTAACAACCATACCTACGTAATTCTTTTGAAACGAAAACGCATTTTAGAATTTCGGTTAACATTTGATGAGTTAGCATACCCAGTGTATGTCAGTTTTAGCTGAGGCTGAGGGCATAAATATCTAGCTTGTGTTCTTTTAAAACTTCAGTGACTAAGATAATTATGGCTTAAATTAAAGATGAACATTGACATGCCTAAATAGGAACAGCATTGATTGATTCATCAGAAAATGCACAAAATTATGGAAGCAGCATTCCAAAGACTAACGCTTTATTCGACTAACAAACCTGTGGCAAAGAGTATTATATCTCATTTAAGCAATCGCTTTATATGTTTTTAGCGCAACATACATTTTTAATTGGCCAAAACGAGGATGAAATTGCGACGTCCAACACTTTGTGCAATACCACTTCTGAATTTGTCTTGAAGACGATGCGTTTTCAAATACACAGGGCTTGTGTGTTGGTTGAAAAAGTATGCTAACTTTGTATGTGCAACGATTGAGTGACTTTTGTGAGGGTGCATGACTATTAATGGTCTCTTCAGATCACGTGCGTTACTGCATCCGGTCACGTCAAAAGTTGACGTTTTGCCAGCTGTCATTTGTAAAACGTCTTCCGAGCAGATGCGGTAGATCATTGGCGGCATATGCGAGATAGGTTAGCAGAGATTAACGCCGGTTGCTTCATGATAAATACGTGCACTTTTGCTTAAGCAGTTGCAGGAGAGATGCTCCAATACGAAAATCTAAATGAGAAGTTGAAAAAGCGGAATTTGTATTAGATTATGCGGGATAATTTCAGATATTACGTATTGCAAAAGGGCACCGATCACTTCCCTGAAAATTTAATCTGGATTTTGAAATTGGTTGCGTCCAATTATACTGCTATACCGTTCACAAATATGAAGATGTGCAATTAACTTGGGGTTTCATCCAAATATATCCTCGAGGAGAAGGTGCAATTTGGTTTTTAATACGTTTGTTGTTGGGCGATTTCACAAGATCTATGAATTCTTAAATTTAGCATCTCATCGGAACCTTATTGAAGCCTCTTAGTACGTAAAAGTCACAGTCCACATCAATTTCTAAATTATTAAATCAATACCAGGCTTTTTGTCATAACTTTCTTTATACGATTCCCTTTACAAGGATAACTGATGAAACATCTAAGTAACGACAGCTGCTAAGGCCAAACATTTATGAAGTTGTGCTCCTTGTTGATGTTTTAGATCCACTTCCACTTTGAAATGCCCAATGCTAGAATAGTGTATTCTGATAACAGAACAGAGACCTGTTTTAAGGCAATCGTAAGCGCACTCCTCTCGCCATAAATTATCTTTTATAAGTGGAATTGCAGAGGGATCTTACAAAACAAGTGAGCTCCACGAAATGAGATTAAGAGACGTATCAACAAGTCTGTAAATGCCTGAAGTGATTGTCTGAAGGGTTTAGGTCGTTCTGCCACAGATCTGTAAGCATTTTTCATTTTTCTTTCTGAAAAAGTGAGATCAGACGTTAAGAACCATTTTTTTGGCTACACTCAGTGCAGCATCTCAACACCGCGCACATGCGAAAAGCACGTGCAGCAAGAGATGGTAATGAGCGGCTCACTAGTATTGCAATACGCCAAACGCAAACACATGTTTTACCGTCCTTACCGATCATCACTTCGTCATAGGCTACACGATATGAGGTATATAAACATGTCATATGGCCTGTGATCTACTGATGATCGATAACGACCGTGAAACAGCTGTCTACTTCTGGCCTGTTGTACCCTCAGTGAGCCGCTTAGGCATTGCATTTGGTATGTGCCATATGCCATAACGTTTGTTGTTGCCAGTAGCAAGCAAGCGGGCGGACAGAATGAGATCGAGTGAGACCCTCACCACAATAGTAGGGGTCGCATCACCATAATCCCTTAGATTGTACGTGACGGCAATGGTAACTGTGCAACATCTCATACCCCGCAGTCATGTCCCCAAAATCCTCATTTTCGACTGCAACTGCTGGTGGCTTTATGTGAAAATGCAAAATGGCGCTTGTGTGTTTAACAATTATGCCTAATTTATTTGAGTCGGTGAAACACAGCATACGCGGTAGGACTCGAACGTGCAACAGAAATGCGATGCTTGTGCGTAGAAAAACGTTTTAATAACATGAACAAAGGTGCTCAGAACGGGATTCGTGTATTTTGTTACATTTTCACAAGTTAAGCTGCCAGTGTAATACAGCATATTCTCATAAATCAAGTTGACCCTCAAGCAGGAATTCGCATGTCGTCAATATAGAATTTAACAGATATCTACCGGGTTCGATTAACTAGCGGGTGTATTTGACGAAATTCGAAAATCGTTTAAACAGGTTGTGAAATATATCAGTGAATTCGGCACTAAAACCCCTAATGATTAAGTGAACCGGATATGCATGCAATGGATTCCACATTGATTGCCTAAGACACGCTAATGGGCATTTGGCTCTAAGTTCTAGAATTGGTAACGTCCATAAGTTGAAGTGGATTTCTTAGTCGATCAAACTGAATTACTTAAACCTTCGCAATTTTCATTTATGAGGTTCGCATATAGGTTAGTATAAGAATTCTGTATTGAGTGATTACCAAATTCTGTCAGGGCGTTCAACCTACAGTATTATTAGAGGCGGCGGAATCACCATGGAGGAGTTGCGCGTGGCATAAGACAGAGTTCTCGGAGTGAGAGTGTCAATGAGCGGAAGATTGGAGCTAGAGTTGATGCGAAAAAGGAAGCAAAGGCCAGCTTCGAGTCTTCTAACCCACAAAACTTAATGTTCGCCTGCTGACGTACCGGGTGCGACCTGAGAGAACAGCCTCCGGGTGAAAACCCTATGAACATTTTCGACTTTATTACGGTCGCAGGCGTTCATTGAACCAAAGAAAGGACAGCAGTATTCGAGGACTGGAAGAACAAACATTTGATAAAGTCTTAGCTTCATTTCCGGAAGGAAAAAATTATGCGATATGAATCCATATATCTGTGCGGCTTTGGCAGAGATTCTATCTGCATGAGGTGATAAAGCAAGTTTATTTGTATAACTTAGACCTAGGTCCTTTATGGTGAAACATTCTGAGAGTGGGTTATTCTGAAAAATTATGGCACTAGAAAGATTGGCAGGACCAAAAGACATGAAACTACACTTGGATGATGAAAACTCCATCTGCCATGTCGAACCCCATCTGCTTAAGCGTAGTAAATCGGCATTAATTTTTTGAACACAAAAATTTGCGGTGTCCTTAGAGTATGAGTAAACACAATTGAGGTCATCGGAATAAATAAAAGTTTGCGAATTTCCGAGTTCAGTCGAAATATCATTGATATACAGAAAGAAGAGTAGCGGACCCAGGACCGTGCCTAGAAGTACGCCACTCGTGATCGAGTGAGGTGTCGAGTTGCTATTACCGATCATGACTTTCTAATATCGGTTGGACAGATAGGACCTGATGAAGTCGAGTAGGGGCGGCCGGATGCTTTGTTAAGTGCAAAGTAGATAACTACCACTGACTGCCGCTCATTACGAAGAGAAGTGATTAGATTAGGAAACATCAAGTGGCAAGTTTCGCAGGATCGTTTAGGCAAAAAAACATGCTAGCTAAAGCTCAGAAGCCGACTAGCTAGAGAGAAGTCAAGAATTTCACTGGAAATTTTCCTTTCAAGAAGCTTTGCTAGAGACGGCGTTTTATGCACGCCCCGATAATTATTAACATCGGATTGAGACCAGACTTGAAGTCGGGAACGCTAATATACGTTTTTTTGTTTTAGGAAAGAATCCTTTAGAGATATAATCCGAGAATAATTGACTACGTAATATGGGAAGGTCGGATGCCTGTTTTATAATCGAATTTTGAATCGCGTCCGTTCCTGAGCAGCGTGAGTATTTCAAACGACTTATGTATTTCTGAATGAGATCTGTGCTGAAGTACTTGACTAATTGACCTTTGACAATCTTGTCACGTTTGTTTTACTGTAGCATTCGTTTTAACGTGGCGAATACTTCGCCGCTTGTAAGCTTCGCGCCGCTTGCATGCTCTCTGGTCAGGTCGTTGCACATTTTGAATATTAACTTTATTCACTTACTGGCCTTCCTTACGTCTCTCCGTTTATGAGGTTAGTAAGCCGTAGTCCGTTAGTTCGCGGGAACGACATAACTTACGTCATTGGTGACTCCCGACGTTAGCGCAGACTTAAGTTCTTTCCTTCTGTAACATTTAATGACATTTAACGTCCTCTGTGTATTTGCTGAATTCTAGTTAGTTTACATTTTCCGCTAACCTTTTCACGATATTGTGCTACCTTTATTTTGCTTATTACGTCTTCCCCAACTCAACAACCTGACGTTCCTGCCGAGTCTGTTCATGCTGTCCATTTCACTTTGCCTGATTTCTGGCAACACGCCCTGAACTTTATTTTATCCGCATTGAGTCAGCCTTTTAGTCCGCCAACTTTACGAAGGATTTGTCGAAATAGCACGAACTTGTGGAGGTTCTCCCTGCCAATATTATCTCACACGTTCAACCCTTGTTAGTGAAACCCCCTGCAGACGCTCCCTATTCTGCTCTGAAGGCGGAAATCCTTCGTCTCAATGCTGTATCTGACCGACAACGCTACCACCAGTTGATCAAGGAGGAATCACTGGGCAGACGAAAGCCCTCAGAACTTCTCCGACGAATGCGTACTCTCTTAGGAGACATGCAGGTCGACGAGAAACTCGTTAAAGAGATGTTTCTAGAGCGGCTGCCTGCAGATGTCCAAACGATTTTGGCATCCGGCTCGCAAGACCTTACACTTTCACATCTTGCTGAAATGACAGACCGAATGATAGAGGTTCAACGGTTCCAGCCACCTTCCGTTGCTCAGATTTCCACATCCTCTTCAACGGTTAACGAGCAGTTACTGCAACAGATGTCGGCTATGGCGAATGAGATAGCCTCCCTAAAACTACAGCTTGCTCGCATTACCTGTAGTCGCTCACCCAGCCGTCATCGTTCACGTTCGCGACCTCGCACAGCCAATTTGTGTTGGTATCACGCAAACTTTGCCGCCAAGGCTCGCAAATGTTATTCCCCTTGTTCATTTAAACCGAAACAGGGAAACCAGCCGGCCAGTGGATAGACGCGACCGTTTTCGCTGGCTCTCCCAGCTCTGGTCGCACCTTTTATGTCTGCGACAATGTGACTCGCAGGCCCTTCCTGGTGGACACCGGAGCCCAGATCAGCGTGGTTCGCCCCACTCCAATTGACGGCCGCTGTCCCAGCCCTGGTCTACATCTCCAAGCTGCAAACCGTTCCCCCATTTCCACTTTTGGTAGTCGTTCCCTAACGCTAACCATTGGTTTACGTCTATCATTCTCCTGGATATTTGTGATTGCCGATGTGCCTCATGCGATCCTTGGTTCCGACTTCCTAGCCGAGTTTGATCTCCTTGTTGACTGTCGGCGTTCCTGTCTCCTCGACCGCACAACTGGTCTTTCTGTCCGCGGTCTTACACCCTTTAATGACTCCTGCAATCTATCTGTTCTGGACACAGATATTGCTTGCCCATACCGAGACCTGCTCGTCCAACACCCCAACATAATCAAACCCCAGTTTCGCAGTGGTGAGATCCAGCATGACGTTGTCCACCACATTCGCACCCCTGGCCCCCCAGTATTCGCACGGCCTAGACGACTGGCTTCGTCTCGTCTGCAAGCGGCGAAGGCCGAATTTGAGCACATGCTGCAACTGGGCATAATTCGGCCGTGCGAGAGTCCATGGACGTCCCCTCTGCATATGGTGCCCAAGGCGGCATCAGACGACTGGCGGCCCTGTGGTGACTATCGCGCCCTCAACAATGCGACCATCCCGGATCGTTATCCCGTACCTCATCTTCAAGATTTTGCTAGAGCTCTTTTCGGCAAATCAGTTTTCTCGAAGATTGACCTTGTTCGGGCCTTCCATCAGATTCCTATCGCTCCTGAGGATGTTCCCAAAACTGCCGTCACCACACCATTCGGCCCGTTCGAATTTATTCGCATGCCATTTGGTCTTCGCAATGCTGCCCAAACATTTCAGAGGTTCATTGACCGAGTCCTACGTGGTCTCCCGTTTGTGTACGTCTACATCGATGACCTCTTGGTGGCCATTCGAAACGCCGAGGAATACAAAGAGCATCTTGCCTTAGTGTTTGACCGCCTCGATCAGTTTGGTGTGGTCATTAACCCTTCGAAGTGTGTTCTGGGTGTGCCATCCCTTGATTTTCTTCGTCACCATGTCTGTGCACAAGGTGTGCGTCCCCTCTCTTCCAAGGTTGAGGCCACTCGTGACTTTCCTCCACCAACCTCCAAGCGTCAGTTGCAACGTTTCTTTGGCATGGTAAACTTTTATCGCCGGTTCCTACCGAACTGTGCTGACCTTATGTTGCCACTCACCAACTTGCTCTCTGGTCCCATGGGTCCCCTTGAGTTACGACGCCACGCGCTGACTGCTTTTTATGCTGATGCTACCTTGCTCACTCATCCTGCTCCAGAAGCCCCATTGTCCCTGATGGTTGATGCTTCGTCCGTTGCCGTAGGAGCAGTCCTCCAACAGCATATCAACGACTCGACACGACCGTTGGCATTCTTCTCCAAGAAGCTTTCACCTGCCGAGACGAGATATAGCACGTTTAGCCGTGAACTTCTTGCCATTTACCTAGCCGTAAAACATTTCTGACACTTCCTTAAGGGTCGTGACTTCACAATTTTCACAGACCACAAACCACTTACATTTGCCATCCGATCCCATTCTGACAAATATAACCCGAGATAGATATCTCATTTGGATTACATCTCGCAATTCACCACCGACATCCGCCACATTGATGGCCCGAAGAATGCGGTGGCCGACATGCTGTCCAGACCTTCCCTCTCGGCGTTTCACCTCTCACACGGGATTGATCTTGGTGCTATGGCGGCTGAAAAACGACGTGTTGGATGCCCTGACGACGAGTCTGTTGACAGTCTTCAATTAGTTGACGTCCCATTGACCACCGGTACTGGCACAATCCTTTGTGACGTATCGACTTCTTTTCATCGCCCTTATGTGCCTGCCTCGATGCGTCGAGCTGTTTTTCAAACTCTCCACGGACTCTCCCATCCTGGGATTCGAGCCTCACAGAAGCTTCTCGCGGAAAGGTTCTGATGGCCTGGGTTGAACAAGGATGTGAAAGCTTGGACACGATCGTGCCTTTGCTATCAACGTAACAAGGTTCAACGCCACAGCAATTCTCCATCGGGCACGTTCCCCAGCCCCGATGCACGGTTCAACCATGTGCATTTAGCTGTCTTAGGTCCTTTACCTCCATCCAATGGCTATACTCACCTTCTCACCTGCGTTGATCGCTATACCCGTTGGCCGGAAGCCATTCCTTTACCGAATGTGCAAGCCAAGACCATTGTGAAAGCTTTCGTCAGTCGTTGGGTCGCCATATTCGGGGCGCCATCCATGATTACGACTGATCGAGGCGCGCAGTTTGAGTCCACACTTTTCCAAACTCTCCTCAACTTCCTTGGCTGCACACGTATTCGGACGACGGCCTACCACCCAGCTGCCAACGGCACGGTTGAGCGTTTCCACCGCCAGCTAAAAACTGCACTGCGTGCCGCAGAAGATCCCGAAAACTGGTCAGACAATGTACCCGTTGCACTTCTTGGCATTCGTGCGGCACTGAAGTCAGACTTGGACTGCAGCGCAGCCGAATTGGTTTTCGGCACTACCCTCCGACTCCCTGGTGAGATGGTCACCCCAACCTCTCGTGGTGCCGAAGAAACCCCCGAAAATTTTGTGCATCGTCTGCGACAGTTCATGCGCTCGCTTTCCCCGCTTCCACCTCGAGCTCCATCGACCGAGCCTTATGTTGATAAAGGCTTAGCCAACTGCACCCATGTGTTTGTTCGGTGTGATCGTGTGCGGAAGCCGTTAGAATCACCATACGAAGGACCGTTCCGTGTGCTTGCTTGTAACAGCAAGACCTTTCGGATCCTGCGAGGTGACAAAGAGGACGTAGTCAGCATCGACCGGGTCAGGGCTGCTGTTGCAGAGGAGCCCCCGGACGTGTCTCAAGGAAAAGCATGTGCTGACCCCATAACTCCTCCCACTCATTTTCCACTTTCCCCACCCATCCCTCCGTCCCGTATACTTCCTCTTCCTTCTTGTTCGCAGCATCAAACTGCAACCTCTTTCTCCACCCTTAACTTGTCCACTACAACACCTACTCAGCTGTCTCCAACAGTGCCTCCCGCATATATCACCCGCAGTGGACGTCACGTTCACTTTCCCGATCGTCTAGATACTCATTTCTCCTAGACCTTTGTATGTCCTCCGGCGTCATTCACGCCGCCCTCCGGTCACGGAGGGGGTACTGTGCTGAAGTACTTGACTACTTGACCTTTGACAATCTTGTCACGTTTGTTTTACTGTAGCATTTGTTTTAACGTGACGAATACTCCGCGCTTGCATGCTCTCTGGTCAGGCCGTTGCACATTTTGAATATTAACTTTATTCACTTACTGGCCTTCCTTACCTATCTCCGTTTATGAGGTTAGTAAGCCGTAGTCCGTTAGTTCGCGGGAACGACATAACTTACGTCAGATCTGAGGAAACATTGATTGTACTCAGTATCCTGTTTGAAAGTGAACGAAAAAAGGGGACGGGTTCGCACACGGTAGCAAAATTTTGCAAAGAAAGCACTAAACAACTCCGCCTTGTCAGTGTCATCGATGAGGAAGACTTTGTTATCATTTAGCAGGGGTGAAAGTTCGTGACGACGAATAGAGGAGGACCGATGACGGAAGATGTTAGCGACGGATGTGCCAGGGTTCGAACCACTGAGAGCAATTGATTCTCTTTGCCTGTCGCGAGCTTGGCGCATCCTTGAGGCCATCTCAAAATTCTCTGTGATTCTAAGATGAGCTGATAAGGAACTAGTGGATGGGTCGCGCAGCTGCCGTCTCAATGTTGTTAGTCTGTTGTGAAGAAAATGAGGAACACGGGAATCTGAGGAATTAGGCTTGAGATATCTACGCGGCAAAAACTCTAGGATGGCCTTGGGAAAATTGGACATGGCGTCACGAAGAATGGTTGCATCGTTACAGGAGAAAAAACTACACCAATCCTGTGATCTAATGTAGTTATTTACTAGGTCGTTATCTACGAAATGGTAGTTTTGGTAAGTCTGAATTGAGCTGGACTTTTTTGCAAAGGCAAGCGGTAAGCAACTATGATTTAATGCGTGGTCATTATCAAAGAAGTCCTTTTTGAAAGCAACATAGAGAGGGACAATGTCATCGGTAAAGATCAGATCTAATATCTGATTATCTCTTGTTGGAGAGCGCACCAGTTGAGATTGATTAGAAAAATTGACAATAACTTGAAAGGGTTGGAATCTGGGTAGACAGCTATTGGATACCCATTCTATTTTAGGAAGGTGAAAATCCTCAGTGATTATTTTAACATGGAGAGCAATTTCCGAAGTTAATTTAAAGATTTCACAGGGTTATGAATCATCACTGGCTAAAGAATTTGGGGGATTATAGATAAAGCCAATAATTGACTTTGTGGCGAGAGAATAACAGATGCAAAACAGAAGTTTCTCGTGAATGAGAAAACATCCAAGTAATAGGTACAGTGCTTTAGGTAGGATTTAGGATAAAGAAGACAACCACCCCCACGCCTAGTCGTGCGGTCTTGGCGGTAAAAATCGAAGTCATCTATGGGTAGGGCAGGGTCAGGAATTAGAGAATGGGTCCAAGATTCTCTTACACATATAATATCAGGCGTCATTTCGAGAGCAGTGGCTGCGATGTGGGCCATCTTGTTAATAACAGACCTGGCATTCAAAAATACAATGTCTAATGTGTTTCGAACGGCAATGCTATTGTCGACGGTATTTAAAAAAATTTGGAGACGGATATATAAGCTAAGAATTAATGAAGCTTAGAGAATAAGTACCAGTTAGTCTAGAGTTATTGACGTACGGAGAGTCAGCAAGAGAAGGCTGAGTATGAGACCTAAAGGGTGGGGGATATAGTTTTCGAACATTGGAATGCTAGAGGATTAAGAACATGGATAGACTTGTTGGTAGTTATATTGTGGATGAAGGGGAGGAGGAGGGAGCCTAAAAGGAAAGTAGAGGCTAGTAGGGGAGGGTAGGCAGCTATAAGAATAAAAGGGTGGGAGACCAGGTTTAGGTTGGAAGTCAAAGGAGGTAGTTGACGTAACTGAGAGCAGTTGGCCTTAAGTGGTGGGAAACCTGAACTAGGTTGGGACACAAATGACAGGGCAATTCACGTATGAATTATTTGCTGGATATATAGTAGGGCTTTGATATGTAACCGGTACGCAATACAGAGAATATTTGGAGATATAATTGGAGACCATGATGTACTGATGATTGGTGTTGAACACGAAAACTGCAGTCCGGGCCTGAACGGTTGCACTCATGTGAGCCGCTTTCGTAATGCATATGTATTACTTAGAAGTCCAAGTCTCTATCTACAAGACCACGGGCCCCTTTTCTTGTCGGTTTATATCGGGAATATACACTGCTAGAGGGGCGCTCACCGATCGTTCTTAGAGGTCAGAGGCGTGGACTTCTAAGTTACAGTTTGCGAGTTCGAGCCTCGGGGGTTCCACACTTCGGGGCTGGGTATGACTGGCTGATGGCGGCTAATATGCCAGAAATGGCCATTCCAGTCTGGCTTGTCTTTGTCGGTTATATCATTCTGCCTATATCATGCGCCGCTGTGCGGCTGCTGGTTGGGCTCGAGAGAGAGTCCATAGGGCACAACGGAACGGGTGAGTTCCGTAAGAACGATCGGTAAGCGCTCCCTACCATTATATATATATTTCAAAAGAAATAAGCTCTTTGGGAAAGATTAACAAGTTTTCAATCTTGGTTCCCCAAGTCGTCTTCAGACGTGGAGTAAGTGTGCAAAACAGTCAACATTTAAACATGCCGAAAAAATCGATTTTGCCTTGTCATTCCTGCTGGTATCTTGTTCTGATTGGCTAATGCCTCTTCCACTTTTCCTTGAGGCTGTTGTACATCGTATCCAATTCTACGTGTCGACTGATGCATGCGCTATCAGAATGGATAACCTCTAAAAATTCACGGCCCTTTTTAGATGAGCAGACACCTACAATGCGGGTCCTATCCCAGGCGAATTTGTGTCCAGTTTCCAACGTATGAATGGCAACTTGGGACAAGTAGTCTCGCATTTTTACGGCCAACTGATGTTCGTGTATTCGTGTAGAGGCCGATTTACCGGTTTGACAGCAGATAACCGCATTACAGGTGTTGCATGGTATCTTATAGACGACTTCCTTCTTATCTAAATAGCCAAACCTATCCTTAGGGTGTACAAGCTGGTTACGAAGTGTAGTCGTCGGCTTGTGCGCCACATGTATCTGGTGCTTCCTCAGGTGTCTTTCAACTCGTTCGGACACATTCTTAATGTATGGAAGTGTTCGCCAGTTTTTTGGTTTGGGCGCCTGATCGGAACAATCTAGTTCTTTCTCTTTTTCTTTTAACTCCTGTTGTCGCATGCATCGGTGTACAAAATATCTAGGATGCCCATTCTGGGAAAACATTTAGAACAAATAATTCAGTTCTGTTTGATATGTTTCGTTGTCAGAGCAGTGTGTTCTTGCTCGGTTAAGGAGGCTGTTCACGG